TTTTAAAATTTTTTAAAAAGAAAAAGACTATATAAGACCATGAAGAATTGGGCACATGTGGGTCCTGCTGGTGCCAGTCTGCAAGAATCAGATTTCCTTTCTGCTAGGATGTTGGCCAAACTAATGAAGTGCTTTTCCTTAAGCCAGAAGGCTATCTATCTAAGTTATGTCCTATCATTCTTATTTACAAAGGTAAGGTCATGGGCCTTCTCAGATGTTGTAAATACACAGATTCCAATGCTTCCTTGTTTATTTATCATGTCAGTTAAGCTTCCAGCTTTAAAATTAAACCAAGCTTTTCCATCCATTAGAATCCTCTAGATAGTGAGCTGGTGGCTGCAGATGAATTTTTAATATTCTCTTTCCATTTTCAAGGGCTGTGTTCTCCCCAGTGCTCTGCCTTTGCACGCAAACAGCTTGTATTCACCTTTGTGAGAATATAAGGTTACTGGCTTTTTCTTCTGAGCTGCCAGTTGTCACCAGTATCACCACAGATTCTATCTGCCCCTCATCAGAGTTATCCAGTCAATAGGATGGCTGAAGAGAAGTTGTGATTGGAGAGAGATTGAGATAATGGGAGGATGTTCTGAACTTAATGTATGCCCCGAACCTGTGAGATCTGTCAGAGATGCTGTAGAGTGGGCCAGCAGTGTGCTGAAGTCAGAGCTTAGGGCAAGGAATTAGAAATGTGAGATCCAGACCTGGCTGGACCCCCACTGACCATCGGTTGCTTCAGATCAAGGACAAGGCCTCATTCCTGTGCACTCCCCACTGCAGCTTGTACAGACCATTCACAGAGTAGGTACTCAATAAAAGCTGTCAAATATATTGGTTCCCCACAAAACATGACAGGAAGTGTATATATTAAATCAGATCTTGTCTTTAGATCATGGTAAGACACTGGTCTAGGTGTTTCTGTTCATATATTTCAGATTGAAGAGTTGCTGTGGGGATAACCGTAATTAACAGTTGGGAAGTTTACAAGGATCAGTCAATAAAAAACTGGTTGTCAGGGAAATTCTCATTTTTATTTTGTTCAAAGACTCCAAAACCATCAATAAGCCTAATTCGGAAAGCCTTTATTCATTAAATCAGCTTCCTAGTGCACCTGAATGGAAATCAGGAGGCAATTGTAGGAGACCAATTTTTTGGAAAGAGACCAAACACATCTAAGTAAGCTCTGTCTGCCTGTGGACAGAGGTTAGTGGCATGCATGCCTCGACCACCCCAGAAGTAATACAAATACTGCAAGGAATAGGAAGGAGATGATAACAGAACCTTCCAGTACTTGGAAGTATCCTCAGGTGACATGGCATGCCTCTCACTTAAAACATTTCTCTGGCTCTTCCAAAGGAACATGGGTGTAGGTCAGAAATGAGTCACTGTCAGCACATTTCATCTCACATGCCAGCCATGTGTTCTCTGAGCTTCATGTGATCACTGCCCTCTGCCACTTTTCTACCCTGTTCCCTTACTTCCTAAGCTGATTGGCATTTTGCTGGCTTTTAGGAGAAGGCAGTAGAAACAAACAAAATTCTCCTTAATTTTTAGTGAAATAGGTGAAGCTGGCTGTATGTCAGTCATTTTTTTTTCAACATACGGTGTCTCCAAGATGGTAGATGAGCTTGTGTAGCTATACCATCCTGGGAATGGTGTGACATGTGGGTGGACAGGAAAGTAAGTGACAGAACAGTACTTCAGCAAGTTAAGTATAGAAGTACTTCACACAAATTGACAGCACAAGAAAGAATACTGGTTTTAGTGAGGGCCAAAAATATGCTGCTGACGGTAAAGTGATTATTGGTCTCAGGCAGAGTCCTAGATAATATAATTAGAAAATGGCAGGACCTCTTCCAGCTAAAGCAACAGGCAGCTCCACAGCCCACCTTGTGTCTCTGCATTTCCTTCCAATAAGCCTTAGCCCTGGGGCCTGACTCTTAGTCTGTGTTATGACAGTGGTTGGATGCCAAATGTGCAGCTGCCCAGGAGTCCCTAACAAAGATTGGTTTCATAAGTTAGTTTGATGTCAGAAAGCCACAGATCTTACATTTGGTGTGTTGATACCAAAAGCTGATGTTCTCAGGGGAACCTCTCTCTTGGCTCAGAACATCAGTTTGGTGTCCCCATGAGTAGAATGTAGACAGAGTGTACTGGTGTTCAGTAGAACGCTGGAATTTTGAGTGTGTGAATTAAAACTATATCATAATGTTGGTATCAGAGTGAACACCAAGAATATGATTTCACCAAATCCTTATTTTATGTTGTCCATTTACCACTGAGTATCATTGCTGATATAATAATAATGATAATGATGAAAATAATTTTAATAATAATAATAGCAGGGGAAAAATCTGACAGCCCAAAATACACAATAACATGAGTACTTATAGTATGCACAAATACAAATTCAGAAATGATTCTGTATGCCATAGGTTGCAATTAGTTATAATTCACTGAGCTAGAAGTATCTTTTATTATTTCCTTTAGATTTCTAAAGGAACTGCCTTCTAATATATATATTATACAGAAGCGCCTTCTAGTATCTATCAATCTATATATATATATAGACGGGGGGGTGTAGGGCACTTGGTACCTCAAAACATTAATTAAAGCACTAGGGTGGTTTTCTTTATCTTTTTTTTAAGATTTTATTTATATATTCATGAGAGCCACAGAGAGAGAGGCAGAGACATAGGCAGAGGGAGAAGCAGGCTACAGAGAGCCTGATGCGGGCTTGATCCCAGGACCCCAGGATCACAACCGGAACTGAAGGCAGATGGTCAACCACTGAGCCACCCAGGCACCTCCACTGGAGTGTTTTATAAAATCTCCAGCCACACCAATAAAATGGAAAACAGTAATCATGAAAAAAATCTACGTTGGGTCTTAGGCTGTCTTAGAGTTTAATGCAGTCAGCAGTAAAATCTCTCACATTTTGTTGATAATTATTTATCTTTTGTTATCAGTATTGAGAATATTGTGATTGAGTACATATTAAAATTAATTTGCTTATGACATGCAAGTGAATTTTCTGGATTATTATGTATTCTACTGTCAAAGACCGTTTTAAAGAAGCATTAATCTCACATTCTCCTACTTCATTAAGCCATAATAGTTTGATATGTCATATGTGAGGTTGCTTTTTGCAATCTCTGATGATTTCTTAAGAAGAAGATTTAATTAAAATTAACACGGTTACCACTAAATTAACAATCAGAAGTATTTAGATCAGTTAACCATCTCTTCCCCTTAAAAGTTGAGGCCACTTGTTTAGTAGAATAAGCCTGTCACCCTGCTATGTCTCAGTGTATTGGGTACTAAAGAGACCATTTTATGATTTGTTTTCTATGTTACTCCCTGGTATTTTGGAGAGGGAAGGGGAGACAAAAGAATTTCTAAAATATTAAAGTTTATTTATGATTGTGTGCACGGTGTCCATGTCATGTTCTCTACTTGAGCAAAGGAGAGAATGTTCTTCGGGAATAGAGGTCCACTGTCCACCACTGAGGTTTTCTGTGGGTGCCAGGATGCTCTGAGCCTCACACTGGAAGCACAGGGGTTCTGAAGAAGATTCTCACTCACCCCTGGGTCTTTGACTGTGATGCACTGCTTATCTGTGAGCTCTTCCTCTCTCCCTTGCCTTTATCCACCGCCCGCCTCCCCAAGCCTCAACCTAGTCATCATTCTTAAAGCCTCCCCACCCTGTCCCCAGCCTTAGGCGGGAGTTTCTGGTTCCTTCCGCTGTGGCCTCCCCACACCTACCATTTGCCTGGCAGGAGCCAGACCTCAGAGAGCTTGTGGTTTGTGGGATGGGATGAGTACTTTGTTTTTACTGCAATGGAGCACAACTGCATGGATGGATAGGTCCACGCAGGTTAGGAGCTGTTTTATATTCATAAAGATCATTCTAGCTGCTGTGCAGTGAAAGAGAAGAAGCAGGGCTTCCCATTAGAAGGTGGAGGTTATAGTGGCTTGGACTGGATCTTTAGCTCTGGAGGTGATATGAGTGGTCACACGGAGGGACAGTTTTGGAGAACACTGATGCTGTAGGAATTTCAAAGCCAGAAATCCAGGGCACCTGGGTGGCTCAGTTGGTTAAGTGTCTGCCTTCGGCTCAGGTCATGATCTCAGAGTCCTGGGATTGAGTCTCACATCGGGCTCCCTGCTCAGCAGGGAGTTTTCTTCTCCCTCTGTCTCTGCCTCCCTCTCTTTCTCTCTCTCATGAATAAATAAATAAAATCTTTAAAAATAAATAAATAAAGCCAGAAATCCCTGGAGCAGAGGTCATGAGAGGTGTGACCTGACCCTGACATTGAAGAGAGGGTCTGTAGAGCAACCCTAGTAAGGGAAGGAAGGGGCATCTGGACATTACTCCTGGATGCCCAGTTAAAAGGTTGCGAGGTTATAACTCTAACTTCAACCTGGATAGACTTATTTATTGCCCATTAAACATTTTCACAGAGTAATCCCCTTGAAGGAAAAAAAAAAAACAAAAAACAGAAAAAAGCAAAAAACGTGCATCAAGTTCTCTAAGTAGTCCTAGAAGAATTTCAGGGAGAGATGCCTGGGTGGCTCAGTGGTTGAGCATCTGCCTTCAGTTCAGGTTGTGATCCCAGGGTCCTGGGATTGAGTTCTGCATCAGGCTTCTCACAAGGAGCCTGCTTCTCTCTCTGCCTATGTCTCTGCATCTCTCTCTGTGTGTCTCATGAATAAATAAATCTTAAAAAAAAAAAAAAGAAATGCAGGGAGCTGGAAGGAACATGGCAATTTTGTGTGTTCTTCTTTTGCTAAGCATGAAACTCTGCACTGAGAAACTGAGAACCATATACACAGAGCAGCCACATCAAGTCCCTGTCTGGTTTTCCTTTTTAATACCTAAGATGACAAACCATGAGCCATGTCTTCTTGGCCCCTGGCTCTTAATGAAATCTTTCTATGGCCAAAGAGCTGCTGTCACCTTTGTGATGAATATTCATGAGTGACTGTTGATTCTCTTACAGGATACCCCAAACAGAGGACTGCAACTCCCCGAAATGGATTTTCACCTAAGCCTGACCTTCAGGCCCGAGAAGCAGAACGGCAGCTGGTCCAGCGGCTGAAGGAGAGGTGCCAACAGCAGGCCAGGCAGCTGGGCCTCATGCAGGGGGAGCTGCGGAGGGCCCTATGCGGCTTCCAAGCTCTCGCCGTGTCCACTCAGTATTTCTCCAGAAAGGTGAGGCCAAGTTTGGTGACTGCCAAGGGGCTTTTGGCTGCAGAGGAGGGTGGTGATGATGATAGGGGTGTGTGTGTGTGTATGTGTGTGAGTGTGTGTGCGTGTGTGTGTGTGTGTGTGTGTGTATCTTAGGCTGAGTTTGAGGTTAGAGTTTGATTTGATTTTTAGAAGGTCCTGCAAAGTCTCCAGCAGCAGCAGCAGCAGCATTTAATGTGCTGGGAGTTTATACTTACATGTAAGAAAAATTAGTCTGGGAAGAATGATTTAGTACCCTTGATTTCAAAAGGGAAAGTTATGTGAAAAAGAAAAGAAGAAAATATAAATGAACGTTTGGCAGGAGAGATCTCAGAAGAGAATGGAACGTGAGATTGTTTGCATTTTAGGGATTAAATGGCCAAATTCTAAAATTTCTACACATTTCAAATGAAAGGAAGGTGGGGTCACAGTGCTGTGACACTTTGGCTGTTGGTGGGAAATTGAATGTGCCCGGTCTGGGGGCACCATGCCCAAGGAGTTGGGGCCACGCTCACAGTGTTCACAGAGCAGCGTGGGGTGGATGGCATCCTCTCTGCTCCCTTGATTTCTCTGAAAATGCAAAGAGAGTTGGTTTTGTCTTAGCAAACAAGTTGTCTGGAGGCTCCTGGAGCCATCCAGACATGAAGTCTGGTATTAGCGGTGATGTAGCTAAGTTTCCCCATCTCTTGACGTGGAACAGAGGTTCATGGGAGCCTGGTGTCTGATTGAATGCATTTGTGTTTCAGCAAGAAGTAGCCAAGGCATGTTTGTGGGGGAAAATGAACATTTACCTTTGGGGTTTAAACATTACGAATCAGTATGTTAAAAACTCATAGGGCATTTTGAGTTTCACATATGGACCTTCTGGCAACTATAAATGGGGAGAAATAAAGATATTTTTTTATGTAAGAAAACAAACTCACTCATTTAAAGAAGAAAAGCAGAAGAATGTTAAATAGCACCATGTCCCTGGTTTTGTTTTATCACCTGAACGTGAAAGCATGGAGGACTCTGGCTTTTTAGGACATCCTCCAGCCTCTCCCCTGCCCCCAGTACAGAAGCCTGAGCTGCCTTTTTTTGTTGTTGTTTTCTGTTTTGCTTAAAGCTTTCAGCAGAAAACCCCAGTTACCAATTTGTTGGTGTAATGAAAGACCAGAAGAATGGATTTCAGTTTCATCAATAGTTTTAGTCTCTTTCCCAACCAAAATATTAACAATGAATACCAACTTGAATTGTATACCTTCTTTTCTGGTCTAGTACCATGGTTATCAACCTTGAACAGCTGAAGTAGCTCTACACCCACTCCTATAAGAATGAAAATCATACATATTTTTGAGGTGTCAAAGAGGCCTGACTTGCTGTGGTAAATATTGAGCAGTTTTCTTTTCTTTTTTTTTTTTAAGATTTTATTTATTTATGGGAGACAAAGAAAGAGGCAGAGACATAGGCAGAGGGAGAAGCAGGGTTCCTCCTGGGAGCCTGATATGAAACTTGATCCCAAGACCCCGGGATCATGACCTGAGCCAAAGGCAGATGCTCAACCACTGAGCCCACCCAGGTGCTCCCAAGCAGTTTTCTTATAAGAGAAAGGCTTTTGTCCTTTGGCCTGATGTGTTTTTTTCGCTGTCAAGTTTTTAATAAAGGGAAAACAGGGTTGTTCATTGAGGTTCAATGATGGCATTTATGTTGTTACTCTACCCTTCTGGAATTACCCCTCCCACAGATCATCCAGTGTCTTAACAAATCCTTTTTTAAAATTTTAATTTCACTACAGTTAACATACCGTGTTACATAAATTTCAGGTGTACAGTACAGTGATTCAGCTATTCTATGCATCACTTGGTGCTCATCATGTAACAAATCCTAGATAAAAGTTTCTATGGATAGACGTACCAACAGACATTGACATAACGTATTGGCAATATGTGCTGTGTTTCCCAAGTTGGAACTCTTGGACTCCATTTATGACATGATGGCAGAGAAGGGAGTTCCTGTGCCAAAGTTAAGGGTTGGTTCCCCATAGTTATATATTTCTAGCCCCCAAAATATTCCTTGTTGGAGCATGGACCAAGAGTTTTATTTCTCTGCATCATGCACCTAGCTCTTAAATCAGAGACCAAAAAGGTCTAGCAGGTGATTTGTAGGCATTGCCTTCAGACCTCCCTACTGCTTGAGTTGAACTCGGCATGACATTTTAGCAAGATGGATGGCAGACATGAATTTCATTTTCTTTTCAGTAAATCACAACCAGCAGCTCCAGACAGACCTCCCAAACGACCATGACATTTCACCTCCTACACAGTGTGTGCTTTTCTGTCTTTCTGAGCTCAACTCTCTCTCCAGATAAACCCCAGAACTAAAAATGGGCATGTTAAAAAAAAAGTCTGTAATTGAACATACGTGGCTTCCACACAGGCTGCCATGTGTCCTATGTGGTAAAGATGGTTGATTTGAGAGTTTGCCAGTACTACCAGATTAGACCAGGAGGTGTGAGGTGGGGTAGAGGGTCTAGGAAATAGAGGCACAGCAAACCAGGAGACCTCCAACAGTGGAGCCTTCTATTATGAGGTACTGTGATCCTCATGATTCGATGAGCACTGGTGTTCTATAGAGCTGATGAATTATTAGACTCTACCTCTAAAACTAATGATGGACTGCTGACTAATTGAATTCAAATTAAAAAAAATAATTGGTCATCTTGGAAAAAAAAACCAAAACAACAACATCTCATGATCCTGTATCATCCTCGTGGGAAGCCAAAGAATCATTTTTATGTGTGGTAATGTCCAAAGTGGATCATGCCAGGTATGAAGAGTGTGACCTCTACAGCCAGCCTGAAAAGGCAGTATCTCTTTTCTTTTCTAGTTAGAAGACTCTACCATGTATCTTGGAAGTCTACACTGTGTATTGTTTCTATACTGTAGCAGATTTGTCTGCAAAGCATGGCATAGTAGAGAGGGCACAGGACCATCAAGGAGTCAGCCCCATCTTCACCTCCATCTATGTATGCGACCTTGAGCAAGTCACTGTCCCTCTCTGAGCCTCATCACATTACCAAAAGGAGTAAGATCCTTGCCCTTGCCCTGGCTCCACCAGCCCGAGTCCCCTCTGACCAGTCATCCTTGAGTCTCTATTTCCTTAATTTCAAAAAGGGTTAATAATAATAACACTTCACAAGGTTATTGTGAGAATGTAAATTAAAGAGTGAAGTTACTTCAAACAATTATTGAGTAAAACCTTCTTTTTGAGTACAAGGAAATCTGACAAAGCCCTGCCCTCAGGTATTTACTCTCAAATGAGATGAATAAGACACAGATGAGATGAAGTTAAAACATTGTACAGACCATTCTTGTTTCGCTATATATGCACATGAAGAGTTTGGCCTGGGCTGTGTTTTAAGGATAGAAATAATTTTCTAGTCTATCCAGCTGCTGCTGCTATATTTTTTTTTTCCAGAATGTGCTGAGACCATTAAAGATATATTGGAAGTAAGTCTCAGTGTATGGGAAGTCACCAGAAAAAAGGAATTAAAAGCCTAGATAAGAATCTTACATTCTGGCCCCATGCTTTCCAGCTCCTGGCAGAGTAGCTGTGAAAATTGTCAGCTGTGACACAGCCTGAGCTCAATGTCCAGGGATTCCAAGATGCCACATTTAGGTGCTAACATCAGCCTCACGCTTGCACTGATTCCAGGCAGCTCCACCCTTGTGGCAAGGCACAGTCCTCACCACAGGCCAGAGACATCTGCTGAAATCTGTGGTATGAGACCTCCGGGTGGTATAGTAATGAGCATGACTCTCAGACTCTGCACTTCTTCCAGTCAAGCTGAAGGATTTTTCTTTTCTTCTTGTTGCCTGGTTCCCAGGAATGCTACTCTGTAGCAGCCCCTGGTGGTCAATCTAGGAAACAATCCAGACAATGGTTATGTATTAAGTGGTGGTGTCCCTTGCCTTGCATGAAGTTTTATACAAGTTACATCTGAGGGTGTATTTATTTTCATTTTATTTTTGTAAGATTGATTATGGTTATTCAATATTTTTCATATTGATTTGTGTCATTTTTATCTTTGGCTTTATAAATGTGATAGTAGATGATGGATTTTAATTGTTTATTTCTTAGTAAATAGGTATAAAAGACTTGAAAACTAATGTCAAACATTTGTGTACTATATAAGCATAAGAAAAATTTATAATTCATCAGCCCCTCCTTTTCCCCTATATATATATGTGTGTGTGTATATATATATATATATATCTTTTACTATTTGACCTTATATCTCACAGCAATTTTTTAAACAATTTTATTTATTTATTTGAGAGAGAGAGAGAGAGATGATGAGAGAGAACATAAGTGGAGCCAGGGAGAGGGAGAAGCAGACTCCCCTCTGATCAGGGAGCCCAGTTTGGTGCTTGTTCCCAGGACCCCAGGATCATTACTTGGGCTGAAGGCAGACACTTAACTGACTGACCACCTAGGTGCCCCTCACATAATAATTTTAAATACAGAAGAGTCGAAAGAACAACATCCAAACACCCATCATCTACATTTAATACTTATTAACATTTTACTATGTTCACTTCATCTATGTTTTTGTTGTTAGTTAAGGGTATATATTTTAAAATATAGTTTATATATTTCAACTTCAACTTTTCAATTCATTTATGTTAGTAGATTTTTATCAATGCTGCTTCTACCCTATGAAAGTTTCTGTGGAGTATTCAAAAAAGTAAAAGGCAGAACTCCTTAAAACAGTATCACTCCTGTTTATTGACCATCTCCTATATTCTACACACTTTAGATAAAATTATATATGTGTATGTGTATATAATAGTATATATCACAATATAGTAATATATATATAATATACATAAGATACATAGGATGTCATTATATATAATATATATATTCATAATATTTGTATTATTGTAACCCTCACAACAACTCTACATGGCATAAGTATTGTTTTCATATGATAGGTGAGGAAA